TAAGCCAGGGCTGTCCAAACTCGGTCCTGGAGGGCCGGTGTCCTGCAGAGTTTAGCTCCAACTTGCCTCAACACACCTGACTGGAAGTTTCTATGCCTAGTAAGAGCTTGATTAGCTGGTTCAGGTGTGTTTAATTAGGGTTGGAGCTAAACTCTGCAGGACACCGGCCCTCCAGGACCGAGTTTGGACAGCCCTGGCTTATTGAGTCACAGTGCTCAGCGCTCCGCATAAAAAAGGGAAGAGATATTGATGCCTTTTCTTTTAACGGTTTTAAATCTCAGTTATTGTGCACTCTTGAGGAGAGTTTCATTGTTTTGACTGTAGTAACCGAACGCGACACGCAGTTTGAATGCTGAATGGAGGATGACAGACAGACGCAGCGGGGAGAAGAGTTTACGTGAACTTGACTTAAATATTCATCTATACATTCATTAAACTATGGAACGGCTTCAGAACACTTGAAATAGTGCACGAAAACGTTATGGTGGTTTATAATGTTTTTGTGCCTTTTGTGGGCCTTAACAATAGCACAGAGTAGTGTACGCACAATATCGGATTTGGATCGGTCTAGTCTGACCGATACCGATCCGGCAGAAACTGGCAGTATCGGAGCCGATACCGATACTGAGTATCGGATCGATGCATCCTTATTCCTAATAATGTGCTAGTTAGCAAGTTTCACGATGAATGCGGCTAAAGTTTACCGTCTCTCAGAGAGCGGCTCGGAAGAGAGGGGCGGGGTGAGCAGAGCTCATTTGCATTTAAAGGAACATGCAAGAAAACGGCTTGCTGTAAACAGAGCTGTTTTTGACAGGGTAAAAATGGTGTTGTTTTACACTACCATTGAGAAATTTTAACCAAAGTATATTATAGACTTTACATTAAGACCCTAAAGAATCATATCAAACTGAGGAAAATGGGCATCCGATGACCCCTTTAAAGGTAGCGTAGTAGGGATGGGCGATATGGGTTTAAAAATATATCTCAGTAATTATCGCGATAACGATATCAGTGACAATAATTCAGGGAATCCTGTTTCTCTTAAGTATTATCTTTCCTATTTTTACTCAAAATAGGGTGTTGTGAGCATTACTGAGTACACACATAATGTAATGACTGTTTAATTAATACTGGAAGCTGGAGGGCGCCCTTGCACAGAAACTCCATATCCATAGCAGAAGTAATAGGCCTACTACTGACGACGCTCCATAAAATCCCTAATATGGACAAAGTTATCCATTATTGCTGAATAAAAACACACAACAGAGATAGAGAAATTTTAA